AATTATCATATAAACTGCCCACGGATCCAACTTTGGATTTATTTACATATGGAGAACGAGCCTATGATCACATTATCAATTTTGCACCCGAAACAAAAAGTATGTTGCCTTAGTGTGCTTAAATCTTAACATGTGGGCTTTGTTAACCTCGTGAATATCTTTCCCATAGATTATAAAGACAGAGCAGATCCGACTTCACTCATTAACTTTGTGAATAATGGTGGGAACATACTTTTGGCGGCAACTCCCGGGATTTCAGAAACCATTAGTAACTTTGCTCGAGAGTTCGATATTGAATTTGATGAAAAGGAGACCGCTGTGATAGACCATTTTAATTATAATATTTCGGACGAGGGAAAGCATACTCTTCTGATTGCAAAAGGTATCACGAAAAATCCGGCTATTTTGAGTAAAGAAGTGATCGAAGGACCGCCAGTACTTTTTAGAGGGATCGGGCACAAAGTTGGAACAGTACCATTGTTAACTAGAATATTGTGGGCAAGTAATACCTCATATTCATATGAAACCAAGGATGATTCGGTGGATCAGGAGCCCTTCATTGTGGGAAACGAAATAGGGCTCATATCAGCTTTACAGGCAAGGAATAATGCAAGAGTGACGTTTGTGGGAAGCTTGGATCTTTTCAGTGACAGGTATATGGGATTCCCACAAGTAACAATTTATTCATTACATCCGTTGAATTGTCGAGTGACTCGAAATTCATGAAATCTATTCACCCTTTCAAAGCTTTTTTGATTATTCCATTCAAAATCCCGTTTCTTCGGAAAAGTAAGTACACTCGGGATTTCTTTCCTAGGATGACATATATGTTACCATTAATTTAACAACTCACCTATCTATTTAGGTTTTCTAAATCTGGTAATAAGGATTTTGCTAGAGATCTGGTGAAATGGACCTTCCAAGAGAAAGGAGTTCTCAGAGTAACTTCTAGACGTCATCACAAAGAAGGAGAGGTAGAACAATTAGATACGTACCGTATTAAGGATAAAATTGTAAGAAAATTTCATTTCTGCTGCTTCTTCTTTCAACTCAAGGTTAATCTCTTTCTACTCGCATGCTCTCTTTCCAAGACGTATACCATCGAAATTTCTGAATATGATAACGACCATTGGAAAGCCTTTAATGGCACGGACGTGCAATTTGAGGCCATAATGCTAGATCCTTATATTCGGAAAAATCTCACTCCTTTGCCTACCTCTCCAGAGCATCATGCTCGTAAGTTCAAGGCACATATTCAACTTCCAGATGTATACGGAGTTTTCACATTTAAGGTCAATTACAAAAGACCCGGTTACACTTATATAGTGGACACGTCTGTCGTGGCGATAAGACCCTTCAGACATAATGAATATCCTCGATTTATATCTGCTGCCTATCCATATTATACTAGTGCTGCATCTATGATAGTAAGCTTCGTGTTGTTTTCAATAATTTGGTTTTTCAATCAGGACACTCGTAAAATCGC